GCCGCGCTCGCGGACGACCGACACCCCGGCGTTCGCCGCGCCGCGCACGGGGCCATCGCGCAGCTCGCCGCCGCGGGCGTCCTCGCGCCCGCCGAGCGCGCGCAGGGGGAACGCACGGAACGCACGCAGCCACTCGCGCTGCCGCACGTGCTTGACCGCCTCTTCGACGACGACGCCTCGCCGCAGCTGCGACGCCGCCGCGCGCCGTCGTGGGTCATGGACGCCGTCGCGGAGCGCGTCGAGGCCATGGGCAGCGCCGCACTGGCCGCCCCGGACTTGCGCTACCTGGGCTGCGCGAGCCCCGCGGAGGTGGTGGAGGTGCGCGCCGAGGAGCTGCAGAGGGGAAAGGTGCGCCTGCCGCTGTTCGACGGCCTCCGCTGGGAGGAGGTGCACGGGCTGTGCACGCTGGCGCTCGTCCCCGCGGTGTATGAGATGATGTCCGTGCTGGACGGCGGCAACTTGCCGCTCAGGTTTGTTGGACTCGGCTGGCTCCTGTCGTTTGGTGGCCTGGTCGCGTACCCGCAGAGCGGGGAGCTGTGGATCAAGTTTAAGGAAACGCTGGACAAGTACTCGGTGAAACAGGGGTAGCGCGTTAGGGAATGCTGTGTGTAAATACCGTAGAAGCAGTTTTTTTTTTGTTGACACACACACACACACACACACACATAGCGCGTTGGCGACGCGGACGACGTGAGGCCGACGTTTAGTTGGGAGCAAGCCGGGTTGTAGGCGGGCGTCTGTAAGGCGCGGGAATGTGAAAGTGTCGGCGCGCGAAGCGCCGGTCAGCCCTCCCTGACAGCAATGTCGGGGAGTGTGCCACCTCGCGTGCTTCGCGCCGGCCGGCGTCCGTGCAGCCTGCAGCCGCGGTGCACGGGCATCCTCGAGGACGTGTGCGCAGCCATTCGCGGCGCGCCCCCTCCGCGCGCCCCTCGTCGTGTCACGCCCCCGATTCCGCACCAGCGCGCCCGGAACAGCGCCGCCGTGCGCTGCGCTGGCACACCGATGACGTCGCCGCCGCGCCTCGCCCGGCACAGCCGCAGCACAGCGCCGCGCTGCCGCCGGCACACTGCCAGCCGGCACTCATGCCTGGCCTGGCAGGCAGCCGCGGAAACTGGCAGCTGCCCGTTGCGCATCCCGCTATTTCTGCCAGAAACATGCTTGCGCGCAGGACACTCGCTCCTTTATATGGAACCTGCTGCTGCTGCTGCTGCTGCTGCCGCCGCCGCCAACACCGTGTCCGCCTCCGTAATACTTGTACCCTTCGAAGGGTTTGTACCGTAGCTAAACTTTGCGGTAGCCTGGGAGAAATCTAAATTCAACCGGTGCCAGCAGCGTCATCCGCAAAATCCCCCAGCGCCTCCGCAAAATCACTTTGCCACCCACCACTCCCGCTTCCACCCACCGCCGCCTCCTCGCATCGGCGCGCGATCCCCGCCGCCGCCCACGCCCTCCCTCTACCCCATCCGCCGCCCACGCCCTCCCCCTAACCCCATCCGCCGCGCCGCGATGACGTCCACGCGTCTGCCGCTCCTCGCGCCTGCCTG